GCGAACCGACTCGACGAGTGTGACAACGCCTTAAATAAACAGAATGTGAGAGCTGGAACGAGCTAACAACGCCAACCCACACTTTTAAACCTCAACGTTGATTGGCTGGATACTGATCACACCACTTGTTAGATCACGTGTACAAGGATTCCCTCAACCGTTAGTATAAGAGGACGTGCACAATCGAAAGTCGACAGTGGACGTATGCTGAATAAAACTTAACTGATGAAAAGCTGCAGAAACTCAAACGAAAGAAACGAACGACGAAGAAATTTACGAACATATCACGAACGGTGAAAACCTGCTCAACGCTGAAGTTAACTTAGTAAAACTACTCCACGAAGACGAACATTAAGAACTGATAGTGATTCAAGATTGATTGTAACGATTCACTACCTAAATAAAGCCTCGTAACAGTATTTTTACAGTTTTGAGATCATAATAGAATAGTCTCTTCAAAAAAGTAACTAGCATGTTCTTAGCTCGGGTTTAATTTTTTGGCGCCATAGTTGGAACGTCATTTTCCCGCCAAAATGTAACAATATCGAAAACCAAAAACGATACGATTTTTCGGAACTGAAAGTTCCATCCTGTGAGGAAGTTTCGTGATATTCCAAACTAACATCAGAAAGATATAACTAAGTGGCCGAATTTGCTGTCTTTTATTCCCACCGTGTTCAGTTTGTAGCGTGTCTACAGCGTGCGGCGAATGCCGAAATATCAGTATAGTCTCGCTTGATGAAAGCATTCAGATGTTTGCACCTAGGCCTAGGAGTCTGAAAATATGGGAAAACGATTCTACAAGTCAAAATATCCCAGCGTGGCGTTTACGTGCAGGTGTGAGGCGAAATTCCTGACTTGCGAAATATCTGACTATTGTAGAACTGCCCATGCTCAGACGATGCGCATGAATGACATTGGCTCATAAATTTCGCAACTCGACAGACAACACGTGTATTTATAAATCATTTTATTTATACAAAAATTTTCAAACATCAATTCTGCAAACGATCAACTGAATTGACACTATACCACTGATTGTGAACGTTAACGTTCAGTGATGATAAAGCTTGAATCGCAGATATGGAAAAAGTCACTCGAAAAGCGCTCTAATTAGACTTAGTGATATAAAATAGACTCCAGTTTCAAAGGTTATGCTATATGCATTGCTATAAGCACCAAAAATCGTTTTGCGTTTGACTTTCCCAATTCTCACTATTTAGCAAGCAGCAACAATGAGTTCGTGAGTTGGCCGTTTAGATTTGGCGATATCTATATTACAAACATTTGGTAACATTTAATATAGCAAACGTCGTGTATTTCGCGGCCACGACCACACAATTCGCTTTGAAATTTAAAGTGTTTATGATTAAAACTTAGCGATGTTGATTTGAAATATTTAACGAAGTATGAGCCATTAACATGCATTATCACTGATTATTTTATCTTAACTCTAAAAAACAGGTTTGGCCCACATAGAATTTAGCAAGCGTCAATATATTTCGTGCCTGCACGCGCGAAATTTCTGACCCGTTACGCTTGGTCAGTTATTTCGCAGAGGTCAGGGATTTCGCTTGACACCGGCCATGGGTCCTCCTTTATGGCAAGTTTAGTGTCCGTACGCTTTCGTATGGAAGATAAACCCGATTTGTTGACAAATTAAATTAAAAATAAACACTTGTATATACTCACTGTATTCAAACGAAATTTTCTTCGTAAAACCTTGAAAACAAGCAGTTTGATGCGGCCTAATTCAGAAAATATAAGAAGAAGATATTCAAAGATGATATTCATTAGAAGATAATCAATTTTTTTCTGCAGTGGACTACTAGTAAATGTAGGTACGATTGTTGTGATAGTGTGATGTTTTGACAGTATTATAACCTCCGCTGAAACCTCCTTGTGAGGATTTGCGCAACGGTGTTTGTCGTTTTAATTGGGGTATTTACATAAAAAACAATGAATCGAAACATAGGTTATAAATAAAGCCGGCTGTCAATAAGGATAAGTTGCCTAAAGTAAATACAGTTGTTAAATTGAGAAAGCCTGCATTGGTAATATAGTTTCATACAATATAGAAACATACGTGTGCAGCAACCTCTCGCCTATATTTTCCAAACATTGATTTAACAAGAGGATCAGCAATTGCTCAACATTTAGCGCAGGCTTGCGTTGCTCATCAAGTGTTAATATCGACTGTTTTCAGTTTGTATTGGTCATGTTGCTATGACAACACTCAACACAAGTCTGCAATAAGTGTTGGCCAATTATTAATACTTTGCGTTAAATCAATATTATGTATTTCTATAAGACAGATTAATTTTCGCACACCTAAATCGTTCCTGACATTGGTTTGCCAAAAAAAAACAGGGATTGAGATGCTATGCTTATTTACAGATAGTTAAGAATTTTTGAGGAACACTGATTACTAGCTTTTCTAATAAATAAAGAAAATCCGTTTCATTCTCTCCACTTTTTTTACACAGACGGTCCATCTTTACCTCCCGAACAAATCATTTCAAGTCACAATGTCAAACCCCCTGTTCAAGCAAATTGCAATTATCTCTGCTACACGGAACCAAAATGTGTTGGATTTAACTTCAAAACAAAAACCAACGATAACCTCGCTGTCAACTGCCAGCTGACCAACATCTCTAGAAAGAGGGAGAACATGGAAGAAGGGGAATGGACATTTTTTTACAATATTGATGAGGTAGGTGACACTACAAGAGCTGAATTCTGGACATGATTGTTTCCACTAATTTTGAATGTGGCCAATATACACAATCCAATACCATTGGCGTACGAGATACGTGAACGCTGAATTTACCACTGCTGCGCCCCTCCCCCTCCCCCCGCCCGCCCCCTTAATTGTTGTTCGGGCAGCGTGTACTTACAAGAAGCGAGACCCTGAACCAAGATGACCAAGAAGCGAAGTTCATATATGCACCAGATTTTGCTTTCCTCGGACGTAGGGACCTTCCCCACCAACTTAAACAGGTAGGACCAGGGATCTATTCCAGTAAAGCTGGGAGTCTTTTAGCACATGTTAAGTGGCACTGCGTAGCGTATTAAGTTAGAAATCTTATACGATTTAGGACTGCAACGGCCACCAATAGTAATTTATTTAAAGTCAATAGATAGTGAGTGATTACTCAATCTCCCGAGCCATAGGCTCATGTTAAAAATGCTCGTTTATTTACTCTATGGGTGACCACATGTACAAATTTGAAACAAAGTAAGATCCAATACAATAAATCATTGAAAATAATTGAATAATTACAATATATGAATAATTGAGACATTGTCTTCGCTCTGTTTGCAACGCCCAATCACAGATTTTCACGTCTTACGCAACGGCTGCATTTCAAGCCTCAACATGTCAACTTCAAACCGGGTTCAACAGAACTTTTCCCAAACATAAAACTCATGTCTTCAACTTCGAAGACTGTTTTAAATTCACACGATTGATAATATACCACGAATTAGCTTTACCACCATTTATTTGAATGATTTTATTTTGCCCGTCGTCGTCGCGTTGCCGTCCTAAAATCGTATCGTCTCTAATAATTCAAAAAGGAAGAAATATGCGCGTTTCCGAATTAATCTCTTAGATGATATTTGGAACACCTTTTAAGTTGTCCCTCCCGTACGTCGATGTGGTGAATGTTGTTATAAATGAATTTATTAATTAACGAAGAGACAATGTTTTTTTATCTGATTTGCATGAGGCAGGACTCAGAACTAAAAACCCATATTATTAGTGTTGCGATTTAATTACATACGTCTCCAATATTGTCCTATCTCACTAGTCATGACAATTTGTCACGACTTGTGAAATGACATTTCGTCACGACTTGTGAAATCAATTGCAACGAATCGTCACAAGATATGAATGGGAAACCTAGAATCGGATTACATGAGGTTACTACAAAGTGTGCTTACGTGGGTCGAGCTCGCCGAAATTCGTCACGATTCGTGAAATTATAAATATAAATATATATGTTCGTTACTCGTCCTTCAAAACAGACGTGATTTATAAATATCAAAAATGGTACAGAATGCTAAAGACTTTCGAACTTATGCCATTTTTCAGAGATGTTGTCATTTCTAATGACAGAAAACATATCATATAAAACATTTTTGTATGTGTGCTTGTGCTATGTACTCAGGTGAATAATTATGATGTTTAATTTTATAACTCGAAACCGATTTGACCTCGCAGCTCAGTTGGCAGAGCGTTGGACTATCCCAAAAGTCGCGGGTTGGATTCCCACCGTGGTCAGGCAAATATTACTGCTTTCCGGTGTGGATGCACACTCAGGGTAACATCACAAACATCATAGGCCTATCATTTGATCACGTTAAATAAATGTTATTGTATTGTATTGTATTGTATATGAAAGTTCAAATTCAGCTATGTTCTAGTTTTTTTAATATTTATCAAATGATTTTTAAGGTTAATTTCTTTTTAACGTCCCTGTAAATTGCCGCTTTTGATCTCGATATTGTTTTAGTTTCAAACAATGCGTTTTATATTGTATTACAAGGAAGCCAATATCTTCAGAGAAAATCTCATTTAATTAATTAAGCAAATGTAGTACTAAAACCGGCGAAACGAGGCCTTCACCAAAGGAGTTATGTTAAAGTTAATGGCCTGACTCAGTTTACCTATTTATAATTATACAAGCTATAAACCAATATCGACATCATAATTAAGCAGCAATTTACAGGAACGTTAAAAAGAAATTAAACTTAAAAATCATTGGATCAATACAAAAAAAAACTAGATCATAGGTGTGTTTGAATTTTGATGAAAAGGAATAAATTGACTTGCCGATATCTGCATGGTCTCGTGCCAATATCTGCATGTATTGAAAACTAAGGTGCCTTGCACGATACTCGATCGACAAAAAATTGTCTGAGATTTGTGCGGCAAAAGGGAACCTAAAGTAAATTGCAACTTCTTGTATTATATAATTATTGACAAAGTTGAGTAGTAAAATAAAATGGGGCGATTATAAGCAAGTAAAACTTTTATTTGCTTCCTATATCCGACTTAATTGCTGCATGTTTCGGATTGGACTAATTATGTTCTGAATATATATTTATTACATGGGTGTAGATCTGCCGGCTGGTTAAGCCAAAAAAAATATGTGGGTTTCCGGTTTCCCGTCCCTACCTAGCTTTTGGACGTCGAAATCCCGATCCTAAACTTTTTTATTGGATCGTGCTTGTAAGTGTTTCCACTTAGAGGAAAAAGTTTGTGGAAAATTGAAATTTGAGACAATATTAGGGAACTTTATCTTTGGATGTGGAAGCACTGACTAAACAAAATGGCGTCCGCTTGTTCGGAATATTAAAAAAAAAAGTTTAAAAAAAAAGGTTAAAACCGACCTACCCTACCTAAGGTTTTATAAGAAGAAACTGGAAACCCACATATTTGTTTTGGCCTTACTTGTACCGCAATGATTTCATGAGCATTTTTTTATAATTTTTAAGTTATTTTTGTCTTATAGAGAAAAAATGAAAACAAGAATGAAAGACCTGAAGGTTAGTATTATTGTACATATTTTACAATCATCTTCCTCGCGTGATTTCATTATACTCCTCAACATAATCGTAAAATGGATTTTTTATTTATTGCATCAATGACTGCTTGATAATTACAATCTCATCTTTTCCCCTATCAAGCTTTCACAAATGAATTTTCATTCGTTATAGACGACCGTCAACATTCTGAAAGATACAATCTTATGGCATTTTTTGTTACAAGCTGTCAACTGCTATTTTCTAGCTTACACATTGGTGAACAAGAGTATATATGTTGGCACCTCTGATTTTGGCTTTATATTTAAAAAATTCAGAATTTTAAAATTTTGCCTCATGAAGTAGCCTAATATGTTGACTAAAAATGCAAAATTTCAAGTTTACTTTTCACAAAAATAATCTAATCCATTATAAAGACCGCAGAAAAGTATATATAAGACATTTAGCGAGTAGTGTAAATTTTCAAGCCAGTTTTGAGTAGCAAAGGAGCATAAAGGTGGCATCAATTGGCGCATTTTCCAGTGGTAAAAGCTCAAAATTGGCAACAAAAATCATACTACACGCTTAAATGTCTTATATATACTTTTTTGCGATCTTTCTACTGGTCTAGTTTGTTTTTGTTAATTAAATTAAAGTGAACTTGTAATTTTGCACTTTTCTCATCATGGTACTTTTTATAAGAATATTTCTGTTACGAGTTGCCAACATGTCTAGCCTTGTTCGTTGATGCATATACTCTACGAAAATGTCAGTTGGCGGCTTGTAAAAACAAATGCCATCAAACAAATTTTGTTGCGCATTTTCAGGTTTTGGCCAGCCGCCTATTAATTGAGCCTGAATACGCATTACCAATTACATTAACTATTTCATACTAGAAAATACATGCAGCAGCCTCGCCTTTCGTAACAGATGAAGTATAAACACTCCACATAAAGTATGAAGACCATCATTATAAACAAACATAAAAACACAACTGAAGCGCTAGTTTATTAAACGATAACATTCGCAGCAATTTCATGTATACCAACTTGCGTTAAAAACATTATTTATTGTGAATTATCGAGTTAATGTAAAAACATCAGAACAATTATTTAATACAAATTTTGTTTCACGGTTGAACAGCCTAGTACTAATTCATGAAACTGCAGGCTTATTTCCAGTTAAAATCGAAGAAAAAAAGTCGACCAGTTTTGTAAACTTTTTAACGAAATTTAAAACAATCACTTTTATATAGACTTAGTTGTACTCCCGCATGCGCATAACGTCGAAAACCGTCGATGACATAAACAAATTGGAGGACAACTTTGAACTTCGCTTTCACACGGCGCTTCGCGCCTTTGGATCGGGGATGAATTTTCATTCCTGATGAGTGAACAATTGATATATGAAACTCATATTTCAAGTTTGACTATTATGGACAACACGCGCTAGCTCAGGCGTTCACACGCACTGGCTAGCTCAACCGTTCAAAATGGCAACTTGCGTGGTAGATCAAGCGTGGTGATAGGGTAGTGGTTGGATTTCAATCATAATATAACAAGACGTCCGCACAGGCACACGCGTGAATTTATGCTGCTCGCAACTCAACCTGGCATACCTTGCGCACTGACAGTAAGTGTCTTATTGGTTATAAATCAAATTGTCCTGTATACGTGTCGGATTTCATAGTTTGAAAAACGATTGCTTGCCGTTTGTACCGTTGTCTCTGGTCTAAATTCATTTAAGGTTTCTCTCTACACCTTTTTACAAATGGAAGATTTTGATATGGCAACAAAGGCGTTTCAATGTAGCAGTATTTTCGGTTTAATGTAATTTTACTAGAAAATAAGGACGGTAACCCCAATTTTTATTTTATAGCATGAATTGTTTTTTATGTTAAATCATTTCGATGATTTAAAAAAAATTTCTGTCATGCCAAAATTTTTCGAAAACGGAAAATGTAATAATTCGTAACAAATTTTTCTTTATATGTGAATTTTTTTTTAAATTATAACAACAATTCAACATTTTTTTCTGTGTTGGTTTTATGTCATCCATTATCGTATTCACCTGAATACATAACACCAACACGGAAAAAATAATCATGCTTACTAGATTGCATTATTGATATGGAAGGAACTAAACCTCAGTTCCGAAATATCACATACTCGAATCTACCTGACCGCGTAGCTCAGTTGGCAGAGCATTGGGCTAGTATTCCAAAGGTCATAGCTTAATCGATTTCTACCGTGGCCAGGCATATTTTTCAAGCTCACCCGGTGTGGATATACACTCAGAGTAACATCACAATCATCAACAACAATTCAAAATATTAACGTATTCTTTTTCTGAAATGAGAGTTGGGGTAACCGACTATATTTTCAAATGAAATAACTTTAAACGCAAAATATCGGACATTTTGAAGCGCTAGTGTTACCATAGCAACGGCAGTTGCGATTGCATTTTCAAACCAGTCCAACTTTGTGGTAGTTATCATTTATCGAATTGGACTTTCTTTCTCCTTTAAATATAGGAATTGTTGAAATATTGGATCTAAATCTGAGGTCTTCCATTCTCAAGTAAACTGTAGGGAGCCACCTTCAAGGAATAAGAAATATTTGAATGACCTAAATGTTGGCAATTTTGTCCCCTTTGCCTTTTAGGCAGCAACAGGTGTATGGATCCCCTAGCGTTCCCCAGTTCCACATCCCTGGATGTCCATCCAGTCCCTGGATGAAATCCATTTTAAATAATAGCATGTCATAAATTTGGGAACAAAACAACATTTATAGTAATGTTACAAACGACGTTAGCGATTGGTTTCAAAAAGTGAAAAAAAATAAGAAAAATGACCTGTTCCAGTCTAGAAACAAAATTGATTTCACTCTTGAATCTATTTATATCTTTTTCAAAAGTTTGGTATGAAAGGATACAGGATATCGTTTTCATTTTTTTAGAAGTTGTGAAAGATCTAACCAGAGAGAATCCGGGGAAAAGCTGCAAAGACATCATGAGTACCAACATTCCTAAGAGTGACTTGTACTGGATTCAACCGGACGGCGATTCTTCTCCTGTCCAATCATACTGTGACATGATTTTCCAGGAAGGTGGTTGGACCTTGGCTAGCTACGGACACGTCGCAACGACGGGCTATGGTGTATTTGATGATCGAAATAAAAATATCCCCAATATGAACCATCCTAGCGGCTACACCTGGCATCCAAACAAACGTAATAATTCCCAAGGCGTTATAGGACTTGAACACGGAGCAGTAAATTTGGCTCGAGGTGCGAAAAATATGATAATGGCAGGTGGAGGGAATCCGGTGTCAGGTGGTATCAACGGGTACAGTTATGTCTACTTCATTGATATCAGTAACAATTCAAACAAGATCACGTTTGCAAACCACAACCGTTACCATGGAGCTATTGGAACCACCAATATTTCCAAGATGCATGTCGTTGAGTTCACGGTTAAAGCTCTGAAAGGTGAAACTGGAAGTGAAAAGAGATACGCTTTGGCTGAAGCTCTGGGTGTCACTTGGGGTGACACCTACCCAACTGGTTACGGATTTGCGCCATCTAATTCTCAGTATGGATCTTGGGACAGAGGTCCTTTTTTCCCCAGTGTTCATACTGGAGATAGACCAGCTGGGGGATGTACAGCAGTTAAATCCTATCCACCAGACGTCGACAAAGGATGTCCTAATTATGCCCATTATGGATGGCATTCTCTATTTACCACCCAGAAGACTGGACAAACGTCAATATGGTTCAAATAACTGTACAGTATCATTACTTACATTATCTTCTTGCACGTAACTTCTTGTTGTTTTAAAATAGCAGGCTTATTAAGTTGTTTAAGTTTCCTTTGTTAAAAAGGGTATAGAAAACAATATAAAAGGGGCATAATTGTACATTTTAATAGTGTATATGGATATAATATATATAAAGGGAGTAATGTAAACAGGGTATAATAGAATATGAAAAAAAGACGCGACAATAATAATAGTCTCTCTAATGGAAAGAGTCCAAACAACTTTGTAGAATTTGCAACATTCTTACTCAATACATACTGTAGATATTCATTTATTGGAAGATATATATACAAGTAACACTTTATAATTAGAAACAGCACTATCCTTTTGATTCACGATTTTTTGTTTTGTTAGAAGACTACAATGTTTATCCAGTAATAGGTAAATTGTTTACGATATCAAGAATCCATAGCAGATTTAAGTAATTGTTTTCATTGCGGCCGCCAAAATTTCCGTTTCGTACTGTAAACCTCCATGGTCACCAGTAACAACCAGTGTCACCACTTTCAGCGTGCATGCGTCATATCCGGTGAATACGAAATGATTTATGGTACTAATTTTGTATCGAATGTTGTTTGCTCTGTTGTTTTCTAACTTTTGCCTTCAAATTAACATTTTCGACATCTTGAAATTTTGAAATCGATTCATCTAAACTTTCTGCTGATGGGCCCTTTGTTAGGCACATAACTTGAAATCAAGTTCTTTTTACCGAGTCAATTCCTTGTTTTCTGGCAACCTTTCCATTGTGTTTACGCGAAGGTACTCTTTGTTTATTTCAGGTGACATCTTTAGGGCTTCTCATAAGGGGGGTGGCACCAAAGGGGGCCACCAAAACGTGTAATTAAAAAAAAAGATTTGGAATGTTTTTTATATAATTAAAATCGATCAAGTCGGTTTTCTTTGTTCTTTCGAGGTTTATATATGGCAACTCAACCTCTCAAGAACAATAGAGCATTTTAAAAGCAGGCGGCGGCTTTTGAAAACTTCATGGGGAAATTGGGGCTAATGGACGGATTCAGAGGAGGAATAAGGGTCTTCACACAATGCGCTGCGTCTCATTATTATTCACAATTACGATTTTCAACGAACGTTTGGCGAAAAGTTGTTGAAATACATTACGATTTGGGCTTCGTATATTTCGTTGTTTCGAAGGTATGTTTTTATATTTGTATTATTTAAGAACCTAATTAAACTATTTTTGACTTATTTGGGGCAGGAATTGCTTTTTAGTTATGCTAATTACGTATTGTAATTATGCATGTTCCAGGTCAGTAGACACGCCAATATAATGACCTTGATATAATGCAGAAGCAAATTCACTTTTTTTTAACAGGTGGAAAATTTGTCGTCGCTGACCAAAAAATCGCGGACAGAAACAAAGCTCATTGCATTTGCATTCAAAACAAAGCAGAACGTTAGCAAGAAGCTGTTCTAGCTGACGATTTTTAGCTTTCATTTCAACGATTTACACATTAACGGTTATTCTTTTAAAAGTCGACTATGAATTATTTGTTTTGGGTTGATTTGTTTTGTAATCGAGTGATTGGAAGAAGTTAATATGGCGACGTGAACATGGGAGTAAATACCGTATACGTCGATCTGTGGCTTGTTTAAAACCGTAATAAACGAAGAAAGACGCGATATGAGAATGAAATGTAAGTTGAAATTAACTTTATATGCCTCAAACTTTCCATTTTATGTTTCTTAATGTAACTTCAGCTGTCTAAGTTCAAAATACAAACTCGCGAAATTTGACAAATTTTGAAAATATGTAAAAATAGTTGAATTTGAACAGTATTTTCTCAAAAATAGCCCGTGGCCTCAACTTCAAACATAGCTAAATGAAAAAAAAATATTTTCGGCGTTTGTAGGTATCAAACATATCGTAAGGAAAATAGGGGCTCACAATGTTTTAGCTGGGTATTTGAGACCCAGTTGCTTCGCACGTGTTGTGGTCAAATTTTGTTGTTTGTTGTGCCAAGAATCCAAAGGCCGAAATGTGAACTTCCTTCATGAAAACCAGCTCGAGAAGGGTCTAGTTTAAAAATTTAGGTATTAATTTCGATTTCATGAGCATATTTTGATTACACGTTAAATATTTTTGTACTTCATGAGATTCAAAATTTGTTGTATATTCTAGCCCGACTTTAGTGTAAGTTTGGTGATGATCGGAACAGAAATAAAGATATTTTAAAACCTGGCCGTGGCCTCACGATAAAACTTTCTAAAAATATTCTCTGTTTCATGTATTTTTATTTGATATCTTAGGTATAAGCGTAAAAATAGGGGCTCATACAGTTTACGAGGTTGTAAAATGCATGATTTGCCTCTATTTTGATGTAAATATTCGAAATTTTTCGACAGCAAAGTAGCAACTGTTTCAGATCGAATGCACACGGACAGCCCACCAGAGACAATGGCAGTGTAGTGAAATAGAACGTCACTAAAAAATTCTGTATGATTAATATAATTTAGATCATGTCCATTTTCAACATAAAACAGTCATATATTTTGTACAAACATTTGGCAATATTTACACGATTGTTCCTTTCTGTAAACACGCGTTGCGTGTATTCCACCCAATTGTGTGGCTCATTTTGCTCGCACATGCTCAGACAAATTTCCCACCTGTTCTTTTTCTTTCTACTGTTGCTTTATATGTTCGTACATATTTTAAGTTTAATGTAATTTTTAAGGTTAGATATGCTTATGTTTACCTGCACTGACTATAATTTTTTCACTTTATTATATAATTCGGCTATTTTGGAGTAAAACTGGAAATGATACTGCTAAAATTATAAACGGATATATACTTCTGAAGGTGATACCCCAGGGAAACCTAATAAAAAAAAGACACATGCAGAAATTCTCGTTTGAAAAAGTCAACATCAAGCCGAACTTTGTTTCATAGTCCAAAGTCAACGTGTAAAAGTACAAATGTTTTTGCAAACATATTAAAAACACAGTATGATTACACAAAAACATTGTATATTTTTAATGGCTAAAAGTTATTATCATAGTGACAGTAACATTATACACTTGATGTCTGCTCCCGAGAGAAATAGTTAGTTTTGTTTTCCCTCGAATCTCAATGTTTCCCGAGACGAAGTCGAGGGAAACATTGAGATTCGAGGGAAAACAAAACTAACTATTTCCCGAGGGAAAAGACGTTAAGTGTTTTGTTATATAGCGACGAAATTGTTATATAGCGACGAAACAAATATCAACATTGAACAACATTCATACAACAATATTTGTATTTCATGACAAAAACTCTATAGCGTAAACGAGTTTAAAATTTTAAAAAACCTACTTAAATGGTTTCAGCAGCATATCCTGTTGCCTGATTGATGTCCCATACCCACGATCGGAGTCCGATGGAGAAATCCATCATACATGTGCTACCGATTGATCCGATGGACAAACATGTCTACCGTCGGAGAAAAGTTTGTCCGATGGAGAAATACACGTAGACAAATAGAGCACAACGTGACATTAATTCATAACATAAATATAAGAACTATTGCAACAGTCAGGCATGACAAATAAGTCGGACCGTTATACTTTTCAAATGTTTTTTCTCTAAGTGTCCATGTTTTTAAACGATGCTATGTTAGTGGCAAACGTCAGATGGCCCGATCGATCGATCGGATCCATCGGACAAGCTTGTTTACGGTCGGACAGAAATTTTACCGATGGCGAAATGACGTCATTTGAATGCTACGCGGTGGCAAAGTAAGAGGCTGGGCATTAGGCTCTGGCACGATGTTAGTGGCAAAGGTCAGATGGTCCGATCGATCGATCGGATCCATCGGACAAGCTTGTTTACGTTCGGACAGAAATTTTACCGATGGCGAAATGACGTCATTTGAAAGCTACGCGGTGGCAAAGTAAGAGGCTGGGCATTAGGCTCTGGCACGATGTTAGTGGCAAACGTCAGATGGTCCGATCGATCGATCGGATCCATCGGACAAGCTTGTTTACGGTCGGACAGAAATTTTACCGATGGCGAAATGACGTCATTTGAATGCTACGCGGTGGCAAAGTAAGAGGCTGGGCATTAGGCTCTGGCACGATGTTAGTAGCAAAGTCAGATGGTCGGATCGATCGATCGGATCCATCGGACAAGCTTGTTTACGGTCGGACAGAAATTTTACCGATGGCGAAATGACGTCATTTGAATGCTACGCGGTGGCAAAGTAAGAGGCTGGGCATTAGGCTCTGGCACGATGTTAGTGGCAAAAGTCAGATGGTCCGATCGATCGATCGGATCCATCGGACAAGCTTGTTTACGGTCGGACAGAAATTTTACCGATGGCGAAATGACGTCATTTGAAAGCTACGCGGTGGCAAAGTAAAGAGGCTGGGCAG